CAGATATCACCGATTTCTTGGGGATCAAAGCCAAAAAAGTTGAATTCACCCGCTTATAAATATGCCTTCCAATCATGAAACTTCCGACTAACTCCAACAATTTCGCTTTAACCAAGTTCCAAAATTTATGAAAGAAAGCTAAAGGGAAACCATCAGGTTCTAGCGCCTTATCACTTGGTGTTGCAAATATAGCCTTTTGCAGCTCCTCAATAGTGACATCTCTCTCCAACTGACTCTTCATCTCCACATGCAACACTTTGAATGGTACTCTGTCTAACTTAAGAGTCAAATTGACTTCTTTTGAAAAAGCCCTCTCGAAGTGATTAATGACGTCAAACTCCATTGCAGAATCATTCCTCGAATCAATCCCATGAATAGTCAATCTAGAGAGATCATTTTGCCTTCTTCTCGCATTGAAAATTGCATGAAAGAACTTGATATTAAGGTCCCCTTCTTTCAGCCAGTTAGATCTAGACCTTTGCTTTCAATAAATTTCCTCTGATCTCCGTAAATCCTCCAATTCTTTAAGTTTCAAACATCGATCCAATACCGCTTGCTCAGCTAAAACATCAGCCAACTGGGTATTATGATCTAACAATTCAATAAACACTATCGAGTTTGGTCTAGATATCAAAATTGTTAGCTTTCTTCCATGCAATCAATTTATGTTTGATATTTCAACAATTTGTTATGCAATTGGAAATCTAGAGTACCCTCAACTACAGTATTTTCCCAAGCCCCTCTAATCAAATTAATAACATCTCTTTCTTCCAACCAACCCACATCTAATTTGAGAGGTTTCGGCGCTTGTCTTAATAAACCAATATTCAGTAAGATAGGGAGATGATCAGAAGAAAGTCTAGGCAAATACTTGACAGAGGCTAAGGGAAATTCTTCAAACCAATCCATTGAAATAAAAAACCTATCCAACTTGAGCATAGGTAGATTAGTGATACTATTATTAGATCAAATAAACTTAGATCCAATAATACCAAGGTCCATAAAAGAGTTGCTTTTAATAAACCTATTAAACATCCTCATTGATGTATTAATAGGAGTTCATGCTAAGCATTTGTCCGGCCACCGAATAAGGTTAAAGTCCCATCTGACCACCACAAGAAAAGGAAATGAATGAATAATAGAGTTCAAATCATTGAGAAAAGCTTCTTTAAGGGCACGCATAGAAGACCCATAAACATTCAAAAATCCCCAAGAAAAACCCAATTTCGGACCATGAAACCTCAAAAGCAAAAATTTATCCCTTATAATAATCTCAAAGTTTTGAAGAACTAAAGGATCCTATAACACTCCTAACCCACCAGATGCACCACTCGCATCAATCTCACAGAAACCAACAGCACCAGATCCCCAAACCTCCCCAGCCCCAGAAACATTGAGACTAGGGAGTTTGGTTTCCTGTAAAACCAAAATCACTGGTTTATACTTAGAGATCAGCAATGGTACGCTCCTTTTCCTACTGGGGTCACCCAAACCCCTAATATTCCAAGATAAAAAGTTCATTTAAAAACCAAATGGGGGAGAGTTAGACGAGAAACATGGTCCATCAGGACTGGGCCAAAATACAGCTCCTCCAACATAAGAGCTTCATTCAGCTCGTCATCTCTAGGTGAAGATGTCGAAGAAGAATCCACATTAACCACTATCGAGTCATAGAAAGAAACAACTGCAGCAATCGAACCTCCTTTAGGGATGCCACGGGCCTCAAGTCTATTTGACGAACGAACACCCTGCAGAGCAACCTTGTTCTTCTTGACAGGAGCGTAACCTTTGGCAGAGGTCTTAGAGGCAGAGGCAATATGCTTAGCTTAGCTTTTACCAGTCTTTCGGGTTGGCACCTCCCCTTTATCAGCAAAAATCCTAACTCTTTTACACTCCTTAATATCGTACATCACCACGCTTAAAGGACCATCATCTATACCCATATCATCCATCATCTTGTCCACCAAAGAAGACTCATTCACAGGCATCTCCTCATAACGGGGCCTGAGATAAGTAATGGAGGAACCTCCATCCAGAGGCAGTGCCACAGAGGACTCAATCAAAACTAATGTTGGTTCAGAAACGGCTTCCTCCATATGAGCCCTAAAATGGGTCTCATCAGCTAAAAGCACAGGACTCAAAGGAACTTCCTCTGGTTCTATGACCATAATAGCTAGAGGATCGATTAGCAAATGATCAAACCGAGTTCTAGTTTTCTTTGCCTGACCCTCGGCCGCTGCCAAACAAAAAGGAAAGGGATACATCTTCAACTTCCAGAAAACAGCCAGCAACAGGCACGATAACCTCCACTCGAAACAATGTACTGAAAGCTTCTTTTGAGCAAGAAGACACAGAAGAAAAACCAATAATTGCCTTTTCAACTCCACTTCTTTCAAAAGGTGGGAGAGAGAAAAAGAATTTTTTAATTGAAGTAGATTGACCCCAGGGAAATCATACGCCACATACGCATTGCATTCTCTGTCAGAAATCATCGCATCATGAAAATATGTCTTGGGACTCAAACGCGCTGCCATTCCATCAGAAACTGAATCAATCCTCTACAAAAAGGAAGGTAAACCCGACAGACCATCAGATTCCAAAGAACTTCTAATATGTGGGCCATTCAACGGAAATGCACACGTGGTCCTCGAGATCGGCGCCTCACTAATCTCCTCACCGTTGTTGATATGCGCCTTATAAACCAACTTATTATTGCTAAATTCCGAGAACCCAACCAATGATTCCGAGAACCTACCAACCGGAATCCACCGTTTAATGATCTTAGGAGTTACAAAATTTTGACATTTGAATTTCCGATTGTTTCTCCTAGAATTACTCCTCGAATTCTTATGGATATACTTCCTGGAAAAAATACTTCCGACAGTCATCTTCATCTTCTCCGGCCTCTCATTCTTCCCAAACTTTTTGATCTTCAGTGTATAATCCATAACAGGTTTTTGTGCCAATCTAGATGCAGTTTCTGTATCATCTATAACTAAGATCTCAAACAAATCATCATCGATACATAAGCGAATTTTCCCAGGAATTGACATACCAAAACATCTCCAAATCTTAACACGTACAAATCTACAGATAGGACTCAAAAAGGAATCCCAATCCATATCCTTTTAGACTTCAATATAACTAACTACGTTTTTAATAATGGACAAATTCCAATCATACAAAGGAAGACCCCATAGCTTTACCCAAACCGACTCCTTATGTAAAAAGATCCATGATCTGAAGGCTTCCACTGATGTAAAGATAATAGGCTTCCTCTTACTGTACGGAATCTATTAGATAGAGCATTTTATACCTCCTCCTTCAAATGTAGTTTGAAAACTACTTTGTTGGAGCGAATAGCCCTAACGTTAAGACGGTAAGATAAATTCCAACCCCTTTGAGCCCAGTCTGATGAGCCAAAGAAATCAGCAATAGGAGGCGAGAAAGAACCTGACACGAAGAATTCTAATTTGATATCTAACTGCTCCCAAGCCACTCGATCCACCACAATCGTTGGAGAGCATGAATCCACCATCCCGACATTCTTACCGCCTTGCACATCGGCGTCTCTACCATCCAGAGCTTTCTTCCAATCCATTACTCCGATTATTATTATTGAGAAATGAGCATTAGATAAATAAAAACACTTTATCCAAAATGTCAACAAACTTATGGGTCTCAAATCATTTATGCCTTCAATTGCACTCGTCTTGGGGATTTGAGTTAAAAATGGTGCATTAATTGCTGTATTAACTTTATCTCTATTGTAAAACTCTTTAACCATTAAGAAGGGTTCAATTGTTGTTAAGGGTAAAATAGTGGTTTGGAGGTTCAAATTCTAAAGCACTCGTTCGGAAAAACAAGGATGACAAGTAAGTTAATTTGAAACTCCCCGGTTTGGAACTCCAAGTTTCAAACTAGCTTACCTTCCTCTTTTTTGGAGTAGAAGACCAGTTTGGAACTTAAAAGTAATGAACTGGGGATACTTAATTTCTTGAAGAAAAAACTGGGTCAAAATTTCAAGTCCTAGACTGTTAATTTGCCAAAAATTCACTTTAAAATCAAAGTTCTAACCAATCTCCCACAAAGAAAAAGAGACCCTGGTTCCGAACTTGGAGTTCCAAACTTGGGATATTTTTGAAAATGAAAAACAATAATAAATAAATAAATAAAGACAAGAGTGCAAAATATATAAAGAATAAGCGAATTTTAAATTGTTGCGAAAATAAAGGATACTTATGTTAATTTCTCTTTTTTAAAACGATGATAATGACAATCACCAGATTTCATGAAGGAAATATTTGATGCTTGATATTTTCTTATGATAGAGAATTAAGCCCAAAAATTGAAAATCGAAAAACGAATAGATAAAGAAAAAAAACTAAATGAAACTCCCATGTTTCCCATGTCTCCTAGCAATCCCGTACAACAAACTAAAGATAGTGAATGACATGGGGAAAATAAGAAGAAGAAGAAGAAAAAAGGGAGGTGCTATAGTAGTTTCAAGGGCACATATTTATACGCATAGCCTTCAGGCTTGCAAAGGTCCCTTCTTCAAGGAATGTTCGCGTTAAGAAATGATCAAATGGAGCAATAGGTTGGGGGAATTGAAAACAAATTTAAAAATTGAGAACAAACCAAAAATAAAATGGGTGAGAACCACTCGACTCGATGGATCTAGATCACCGGCTCCTTGACAGGCTCGCCCCATTCTCTAATAGAACTAGGTGAGTCAATTAAAATCAGACCGATTCCTAGTTCCAACTAGAAACCATCTCAGTACCCACAATTTCTCTATCCGGATCGGCAATTACAGATCTGGATCAATATTTTTTAAATCAATGGTCTGGCTTATTCATGCAATATACAATATAATAAACAGCTTAATTTGTCATCTCCGAGCATACTTCTTCGTAAACGAAACGCCTGTACTTTCTAGCTAATGATGACCTAAATACCCATAAAACTTCCTAAAATGAAGATTTTCCGGCTAGAGATTAAAGACAGGGGAGAATAGATTACTTTCAAGGACCCATGAAACATAACCACCAAACATACGGTTAGCTTTAGAAACAAACCAACACTCGCATCCATATGATGATTGTTTTAAAGGGTGGCCGGTAAATCTCATTGTGTTATCTCAGACAAACCAACAATGTTCCTGATTTGCAGCACAACAGCGATGAATAATTGCAGATATATACATTGGATGTATCCCTACTGAAAACTGGATGCCTTAAGATTCTCATTAATTTAAGAGCTTGGGTTGCTTCCATTCGACTATCATCGTGAATAACGATCAACCACTGCTTTGGCTTTCTCAGGAGCAAGGAACCTTGCCTGCACATGGATTTCTCTTCGTGAAAAAATTTTCATTTCTTTTTTTGGTTTTGTTAAAATTGCTTAATCACACCTCTCTCTCTCTCTC